GTTTTGCTCTAGGGACTTGTAGTCTATGAGTTTGGGTTTTGCTCTATGGACTTGTAGTCTAGGAGTTTTGGTTTTGCTCTAGGGACTTGGAGTCTAGGAGTTTTGGTTTTGCTCTATGGACTTGTAGTCTAGGAGTTTTGGTTTTGCTCTAGGGACTTGGAGTCTAGGAGTTTTGCTTTGTGAATACAAAATTGGTGGGCTTAGTCTTTTAAATGTACCTGTTTAGGTGGCACGTAGCATGCTTGCTTACAGTTCCAAGTCTAGATATTGTGCGAAAACAAGACCTAGTATAAAGCTTATACTGCATTTTGATCAAAAAAAAATTTACAATGTTTGTAATGTAATTTTTTAACCTTCTACCAATTGTTGCCTCAGGTGTCTCTCACATCCTCCCATACTTCTATGTAATTTACTTCACCGGCCTTCTGGTTCACCGTGAGGCCAGGGATGAACACCAGTGCTTGAAGAAATATGGACTGGCCTGGCAGGAGTATTGCAGACGGGTCCCCTACAGGATATTTCCATATATATACTAATTGGAATCAACCTCCTAGTATTCCGAAAAACAAAACTGTCTTCCAATGGGAAGCTGTAATAATCCAATATTTGATATTTTTTTTGGAGGAAAAAAACAAAAACCTCTAAGCCTAATTATTTAATTGCTAGAGAATCTCATGGTGCATACGCTTTCTATCAATTGTTGTTCTAAGGAGGTGTGATATAAGCTGTATATTTTGGCATGTAACTAAATGCAACTTTCTTGAAGTGTTCGGTTCCATTTACAGATTCTGTGTTCATTTCACCTGAACAGCTTAGTGCCTGATACACTATATGGTTTGCAATGTGAACATACAGACAAGGGCTTAGGTTTTGACCTTATGGAATATTTGCCACCATCTACTAAGATAGTGACCTTTCAGATATGAATAGCAGGTCACTGGACATTTAACATCTTTCACAACAAAGCTTCAATGGCTGACAGTCGGGACTCCACTGCTATTATGTTTTTATGACCTGGTCAGCAAAACTGTTTTTTATATTTCCCTTTTTCATCAGAAAATAGTGTACAAAACAGGCAGTACATGTGCTTGTAATATTATGTGTGCAGGATTTCATGGATACCTCAATATCGTTTTTTTTAAACATTTTACTGACACGTGATTTGTATAAAACCATTATATATAAACTACAATAAATCTTTTTTAAGCAAAGTGTGTTATACTTACTGATAAGAAACAAATCTATCACTCTAGAGGACAGGATACGTGATTGGAAATTCAGCAATAAGTCACCAATCCTAAATCGCCCCAGGGGGGCGTTTTTACCACCCAAAGCAGCCCCTAATCCTTACAGCAGGCACCTCCAGTAGATTAATAGTATTGGATGATCCACACTGTGCCCTGGAATCCCAAAAAGCAAGGATGCAAACATATACCACAGCTTCTTAGTTATACTTCTGGGCTACCTCTTCATCCCCTTCTATTATCCACCAACACTACAGATGGCTAATAAGATTGGAATTTAGGAGCACAATCAAGAAGCTGTTGCATATCATCGGGCCTTGACTTTTGGGGATCCTAGAGTACTTGTGAGGAAAACGTGTGGGGAGGAAAGCAGGCAGGAGAGAAATGCAGTGGCTTTGACAGCAGGCAGTATGCGCAGGAGAGAAATGTGGCAGGTATGACCATGACGTGGAAAGTATGATGGCAGTATGTGCAGGGGAGGCATAGAAAGCATATAATGGTGGTATGTGCAGGAGGGGAGTGCAGATAAAATGATGGCAGGCAGTATGTACAGAGTGCAGTGAGTTGATGAAAGGCAATATGCACAGGAGGGGAATGTAAATGCAGACTGTAGGACTGTACTGTATGTGCAGAAGGGGAGTGTAAGATGCATGTGCATGAGCAGAGTGCAGATCATATGATTATGGGCAGCTTTCCAGGCACCAATCCATGGTAGCACATCACCACGTGCACGCTGCCATGTTGGCACCAAAAGAAAATTGTATCATACCTCCCCATAATTTTCCTTTCCTGGTAGCATAATTCCACATGTATTCTGCCATGGATTGGCACCAGGAAAAGAAAACTATGGGGAAGTATGATACAATTTTGTGTTTTTTTATGAGTGATGAATAAAAGGCTTGTTCTAATTTGGACAATGGTGTGCTGGTGCAATAATTTTGGACTATTACAATGATGGCGCCATCTTTTGCTTCACCTTCGCACCCGCTGATTATATGTTCTAATATGTATGGAATGCACTGGATTTTATTTTGTATTCATGAATGAGTGTGGTTCTGGCAGCCGGAGAAAGTGACTTGCCTGCACACCAGAACTCTACAGGAAGTGTTAGAGGATCAATCTACTGCACGCTTCCTGTGAACAGCTGCACGCTCACGCCGCCATTGCTGCAGAAACGTAACTGCACATCCTGGCTCTGCCCTTGTGGCTTTCAGCTGCCATAGGTTGGAAGAATCATAAGACCTGCGGTGCACTCTGCGCTATCAGTCCCTCTCCCTTACTGGGTTTTTATTTTATAATAAGCATAGAAATGTTTTTGACTCCCTCAAACCTTTTACACTTTTCTTTACTGAGCAACAATACTTATAATTCCTGCATCACTTCTGAGGAACTGGTGGTTGAGATGTGCCTAGTGCTACTTAGGTGACTGCTGCTTTAAGAAGGGCCATGCATGTGTACCAACACCTGAAACTTGTCAGTCTGTCTCAATTTCTTCTTTATACATTACCTGTCTTTGCGAAAGGAAAGGAAGAAGCTGGTCATCTATGTCAAAAGGATTACAGAGAATTCTAGAGCATTCATTACAAACAAGGAGGCTACATGATGCAAATAAATATATTTGCATCTATCTGCAGAAAGTTCTACACACCCAATTCTGACTGGGACTCATGCATGAAATAAACATTTCATCTTTCCAGTACAATATGACCGGAAGAAAGGGAGAATCTGGTCGGTAAGAACTGTTTTCGTAAGATGCTTTTATATACAATTACTACTCCTTTCAAACTCATTATTTCGATATTTCAAGTTATACTAAAGAAGAAAAAAAACAGCAGTTTTCAGTATAAAAACTATATTTGAAAACATCTGGAATTTAAATACAAACATATTAAGGTGTCACACAGCAGGTAACTACAGACTTCCAGCACTTTTGTTTCAGTAATAACCTGAAAAGAGACTAAAGCTGGCCATACACTGCTCTATTTTTTTCATTCAACCCGCGGGCTGAAGGAAAACAGAGCCGATTCCTCCATCAACACTACAAGTGTGTCATTTGAAGAATCCCGCTGTTTGCATTGAATTCTTACAGTGGCCGCCAGCCGTTGTCGGAATACCATTGTCTGCCGACTCTGATCGTATGAAGATATTCCGATCAGCTCCTTCGATCAGCGGCCGAAATTTTACACAGTGTATGGGCCCCTTTAACAGTTTTACTGCCAGAGCAATAGGGAGGCTATGCATAGGAGCCATTCGTCTTCACATGTGAGAAGATGCTGAAGAGAGGCACATGTCATTTAAAAGGGAACCTTTAGTTAGTATAGAAAAATGTAGGCTGTCATTACTATTTCAAAGATTTCTATAATGAGATCAATACAGGGGGTGTTGTCACTTTTCTCTGAAAATGCTACCCGATATTCTCTGGCTCCCGCACCCTCAGTTGTATGGTACAAAAATGCAGAAGGATCAAATCAGAGACAAGTCAGAACATCTCATCTGGATGCTTGGTTGACTCAGAACTTAAAGCGTATCTAAACCCAAAAGCAAAAATGTCATATTGCAGCTTACCGATCCTAAAATGTGCTGTGTGCAGCTTATTTTTAGGCTTTGTGTCCCTTATTTCACCTGGTGATCTGGTCAGTAAGTCAATATTTTAAAAATTCCTTTAACAGACCAAACCGTCCAGCAAAAGGGGCTGTTGGAGGTTAGTGGTGAGACAAACTATTTAACACCGGCAGGGCTGCTTACAATGGTCAGCTTCTAATTAACGAAAACCAGGATTCCAAAAGGAAAAAAAAAAAACGGTTACTGTAATTGCTTAAAAAGTGTTATCTGGCGTTCAGAGGAATGTTAGTCCAGTCTATCTAAATCTGCTAGAGCATCTAACACTCCCCTCCCCACAGGGTGACAATGCTGCTGTCCATGGGTGGCTCCCTAGCTCCTCCATAGAGTGGAGTCACACTAAGGCCTCATCCACACACCACGCAAGACCAAAATAATATATTGTGTACATGCACGTATGTATATGCGTTTATGCGTGCACTATATGCAATCCCAGAATGCATCATTCGTAATAGAAATTTTAATGAACTGTATGAGCGTACGCGTGTATACGCGCCAAATGCGTATATGCGCGTAAAATACACAGAAATACGCTGCCAGACACATCTCGGTTCCATTGTGTTTTTGCGCATTTTTACACTACGGCTCCATACGCAGCTATATTTGCATATGCTGCATATGGTACAATACGCGCGTATATGCGCGGTAGTGTGAATGGGGCCTTAAGCTTACCACACACCTTACAATCTGATTGTACAATTTCCTTTAGATCTACCAAAATGTAGTGCAAGGGCCTGCAGATGCCCTTGTATAGGCCAGACAAGTCCTCACATTACATCGTTTTGGTAGATCTAAAGTGGATTGTACAAAGGCTGTATGGTCATATTTTAACATGTATGGTGAGCATAAAACAGGAAGTGTGTTACAACCAGGTGAAATAGATATATATGTATGAAGGAAAAACAAACAAAAAGTCCTAACAAACAAATCAAAACAAATGCAGCCACCGCATCTAAGGATTTGTAAGCTGCACTATATTACATTTTTGTTTTGGGGTTTAGATACCCTTCAAGTTTGTGCTGTCAGAACTCCTGAGTGAAATCCTTATTCAGGTCACAAAGTAGTGAAGCGAGGATGATGGGCGCAAAGCTTGCACCCCTGAAAAGTCATCAATAGCAGCTCCCATATTGTTCCCCTGGCAAGCTGTCTTTCAGGTTTCATTCTGAGTTCTCTGTGGGTAGGCTGACTTCTTGTACGAGTTTCTTTTTCTCCTGTGGTCTTTTCCCACCCCAGACTTTCTGCAGCCCTTTAGAGATCTCTGCCACTCCACTGAGTTCATCCAGATACTGTTTGTACTCCGCCATGATCTCCATAGACAGCACCCCCAAACAGTCCTCATTTTCTTTCACCCATGCAGCCAGGAACAAACATTTTTTCTTGGCACTGAATGCTCCTTTCCGGATATCTTTATCACTGGCCACATGTTTCCGCACCTTTCCCAGCAAACGGAACAAGTGGGAGAGAGCAGCCAGGGAGTATGTTTTGGTTCCATCACCATGAAGAATCTGAGACGTGGCCTCCATGGCAGAACAAGCTAAACCTCTCTCCCCTCCGGCCTGTGGGTCAGAGGCAGCACGTACCGCACTCTTCAGAGCATGAGGCGTGGAGTTGTACACAGCATTGGTACTGAGAGCAGCGGAAACAGAAAGAAGGGTCCCCGTGAAATCCAATAGTATGTCGGCGTCGCTCACATCACCATTGTGCCGTAGAAGGGAAAAGGCATAGCCATAAATGACATTGACCACGGTGTACTTCACTAATGGGGAAGGATTACGGCTGAGTGAGCACAGGGGTGGGATGGAGCTTAGTACTGGGGGCACCGATGTCCCTGTGGCCTGGTCATGGACACCTGGGTCCTCGCCTTTCTTCTGACCTTCAGTATTTGCATTAGGAGAGGGATCTTCTATGACCTCCGGAGTCTTGCTGATTGCATCAGGGGCTTTATCAGCCATTTCTATCCTTGGCTTATCAGAGCCATCAGCCCCTTCTGGGAGCTCCAGGATCATCTTATGTCTGATCTCCCCGGGGTGCCACCAGGGCTTCCACTGAGGGACTAATGCTCCGATGTCCCCGCTCTGTAGGAGCCTGGTGAACTGATCCTTCTCCTGGGCAGTGAGTCTGTTCCACAATTCAGCCTCTTCTCCATCCACCATCCTACCCAAATCAGTCCCTCCATCTTCCTCTTCTCTCAGCCTCAACAGCATCTCCTCCAGCTCTTTCCTCCCCCGGGGCTCGGCCTCCTCCTCCCGCAGCATTTGCACTACACACTCCCTGTAGAAGAGTTCCGAGCAGGCCGTGTGTCTCGGCCCCTTGTAACAGGCCAGACTGCAGTAAGGAGCATTACAGCGCGGACACGTGTATTTTCCTGGCCCGGAGAGGCACAGTGAACATACCCCGAGGCCTGGCCCGCCATCCTCCCGTGCCGGGGTTATCACCGGGGTCGGTGAACCGCTGCGGCCTGGTAACATAATCTCATCTCCCGGAGCTGCCATTTTTCAGTAACGTTGCCGTGGTTACCTGGAACAGTACGACGTAAGGCGTAGGCCAATCACAAGACGGCCATTACCTTCTGTATCCGCTTCAACAACCAATCAAATCACCATATGCTGGGAGACGGAAGCTCCCGTTACGTCACTGACGACAATAGGAATTCTCAACTAGCGCGCCCACTTCCGTGCAACCCCGCAGCCTTTATTGCACGTGCGCGGTGTGTATGGGAAGCTTCATTGCACGTGGTTTCAGGAGCCAGGAAAGTCAACCAATCGTCAAAGGCTATAAGATCACATGGCTGCTTGCCATAGCTTAGTTGAGTCTTCGAATCATTCGACCTGCATTCAAGCTGCCATATAGGCTATAGTTCCTTATTGTGTTATACAGTTGGTGACAACATATGGAGATTCCTAGTTTCTGATAAGTCATTCATACTTTAGGAGGCGTCTGTATGCAGCTGATCCACAGAACCAGGGCAGCCTTCAGAAATTTCGGGGCCCCTTACACAGCTTTAGGCCAGGGCCCCCCTCCCCCGCACCGCCCTGTCTCCCGCCGCCACGCTGAGCCAGTCAGTCAAACTGTTATTGTTGTTGTTATTATTATACTAACTATATATCTATATAGCTCTGACATATACCACAGTGCTGTACAGAGAACACTGAAAGCAGTGTCCCTGCAACGACGTGATCATTTTGGCGGCGGGAAAGAGCTCAGAGCGGTGTCAAACGAGGAGGCGGTGCGGTGTAAGGCATGAAGCGTGCAGCGTGTGTGGAGCCGGGAACAGGGTAAAGCTTTGCTCCTCTCCCGCCTTGCTCTGTGCATGCACTGCTCGTTCCAAGCTCCTCCCCCAAAAACCTTTCCTGCATATGCAAAGCACAGGAAGGCACCAACTGAACAGGGAGCGGCCCACACCAAGTGGGGGCGGGGGGGCCCGGACCGGACCAAGTTTGCTGTATGCTGCAGCGGGCCCTGTAAGAGCCTTCACAGTCGGCCGGATACTCATGCAAGGGTCCTGGGCGGCCCCTGACATTAATATCGGCCGTACCCCCCTGACGGCGGCCCTGCACAGAACTCAGATCCAATTCCGGACAACAAATCACTTAGGAGTATATAAACAATTAGAAGGGCCATTCGTTCTGTGTGAATGGAGGGGGAAAAAACAAAAATGTTCTCAGCAGATTTTATTTTCAGGTCAAATGTAATATTAGAAAAATACTGCATTATGCCCACTAGATGGGGTGAGGGAGTATAAGACAGAAGTATTTATTTCCTATGCACCTCTGTGCCATCCAGTGGCCATAATGCAGTATTTCTAGATTACGTTCAACCTGAAAACCAAATATGCCGATAGGACTTTTTTTGTCTCCAATGGGACAGAACATCCTTTTGTGGCATTTGGCAGGACAAATGGCCCATTAAATGTTTATAAAATACTCCCCTTTATCTTTCAAATGATAGCAGTGGATCCAAAACGGCACACTATGTACTTTAAATGTACTTTTTGCACACAACATGTTAAAATGCAAATTTTAGGCCTGAAGATAACTGAAACCCCCCCTCCGCCATGTTTTGCTAAATTATAAAAGATCAGGTTGCATTGTGTAAATAGATCCCAAACACGTAGAGCCTCAAAGTCACGTGCACCCTTGGGCATGGAGGGCTTTAAAGTTTTTTGGTATGGGTTGTTTTTTTTACAAATAACATTATTGGTATCATATAGGGGCTAACAAGATACACTATGTTGTAGCACTTTGGAGGTGACAAGTTGTCTATAAGTTTGTCAATTCTGAAGCAGGAATGAAGTGTTGCTGTAACTTTTTTTTGGCGATAAGGGATTCCAGTAAATCCTGCTTAAGAATCTACTTCTTGGTGCGACTGCTTTCTTTTAATTACTGAAGTTTGCAGTGCCAGTTAAGCTATGACCCACCCTTCTCATAGGTTACTTATGGAGGTCTGTGTGGTATGGTTTGATGCATTGAGGTTCTCTATAAGGAGACATTAGGGGTCTATTAGGCCTCTAATGTGACCTTTGCACTCCAATTAAGCACAGATCATACAAGCTGCAGGTCTTCTGGAAGTGATCAAGATGCTTTACTGTTGTCCAAATCGATTCCTGCAGAACAATTTTGGTCATGAGACTGAACAGCTCTGGCAGCTGTGTCTCATGCAGAGCCAACTGTGGCGCTGCATTCCATAATGGTCACAGCAAATGTGCAGACCTGGGAACTCAGCAAAGATACATTTCTTTTGATAGCCCTGCAAAAGAAGACATCAGGAATGATACAGCCACATCAGAGGCAGAAGTACAATGAGCAGCTACAGAGCCAGCTGCCTGTACTCCCGGAATCTTCTGCAGCTGGTGTGCTCATTTGCATATGCAGCTGATAGCTAAAATAGTTGTAATTTCTTTATTGAAAGCTGGAACCTGCTCAGTGGACGCTTTTCAAGAAGTTTCAAATGTATTTTCTTAATTGCACTACGCATAGCTGAGGGGGCAGGGAGAGAGACTGGCTTGTAGCCCCCAGAGACCACCTTCCTCACTCAAGCATCTTAGATCCAGGCTGCCCATGTGCCCTGCAAAGGCTGACAGACATCCCCCTGGCTTTGGAAGGTGGGGCACACCCTCATGTTGAAGATTGGTTAGAGGATTATAGACATTTAAAACTCCAAGGTTTTGAGGTAGAGTGGGAGCCAGACTTGACCATGGAATATGGAAAAAGTGCAACAGATTCCTCCATCTATGTAAACTGTGTGGATGGAGGAATCCCCCGCTGGGGCAAGCTTCAGTATCTTGCTAGTCGGCCCCGCTGGCTGTTAAAATACCTGACCAATCTGATTGGATACAGGCATTGTTCAGGTATTTTGAGAGCCAGCGGGGCCGACTAGCAAGATACAGAAGCTTGGCCCAGTGGGAGATTCCTCCATCCACAGTTTAATGTAGATGGAGGAACCTGTTGCACTTTTCCCATCTGACCAGATAGATTATCTGCAGATAATCTATAGGTGCATGGCCAGCTTTAGGCTTCATTGAGGAAGATGAGTCCCCTTGGCATCCTTGATGATGATATTCAGGTCAGCTCCTAAAAAGGTGTTGTCCCTTGAAGACCATGCAAATGAAAAAGGTAATTTGTTGTGGTGTATTGGGAGCCCATTTATAATGAACAGGTTGCCTTAACGCAACTGAGATTACCACATGCTGTAACACGTGTTAGGGCACAGAAACCCAAGTATTAGACTAAAACATAAGCACATAGATAAAGGGATAAACACAGCAAAGGCCGTTATTTGCGAAGATCCTGATACATGAATCACTGAATTGAGTTTCCCTTGATCTCTTCCAGTCTACCGGTTTTTATTTCCTTTTAAGCCCACAAAGTGAACCAATAAAGTGCAAGTGAACACACAAAAAGATGCAGCGTGTCAAAATGATTATTCTCCTATAAAGACCCTTCACTGAACTCAGGGGTACAAGGCATCTGACAGGGGCACATTCAAACAAAATATATAGACACCGGCACTCCAATAGCAAATCAAATACGTCTGTTTATTGATGTTTGAGCAGCATAACGTGACGCACTCAATGCGCCGTTTCGGGGGCTCGCAGGATCCCCTTCATCAGGCAGAACAAGTTTCACTTGTTCTGCCTGATGAAGGGGATCCTGCAAGACCCCATAACATCACATTGAGTATCACATTATGCTGCTCATGTGTCAATAAACAGACGTATTTGACTTGCTATTGGAGTGCCGGTGTCTATATATTTTGTTTGATATCGACCCCGATTGCAAACAGTGGACAGTTTCAGCACTCACCCTCATTATCTTTGGAACAGCAGTTTTGAGTACGATGGGTTCATGGACTTTACCGACAGGGGTAGAGCACTCTGGTCCATCTAGTCAAAGCCGTGTGAACCTATCCTCATGGTTAGCTGACCACCAAGTACTAGGTTGAGAAGAGACAACCCAGAAGCAGGCTTCTTGCTCCCCCAGCCCAGGTACTCATTCAAATCAGGAGCCACTGGGCCCTAGAATTACCGCACTACATCTTACACAGTGGGCACTGAATTCTGTTCCCTTTCCACAGCAGGGATCCCTCAGGACCACCATCATAACAGGCATAGTACTCTGTTGCCCATCCTGCCACAAGGGCAGGACAGCCAAAGGCCAAGAAGTGTTATCCCCTTCCATTCTACTAGTGTTGCGACTACAGGAATGTCACAGCCCATAATTTAAAAATGACACTTCCAATGAGTCCATGAGCTTTTCTCTAGATTCTGACTACAGGGGATTACACAACTCTGAACTTGAGAACAGTTGCAGCTCTAGGGCTCACTTATTACTTTCCTTTACTGCCATGACATTATACTCTTATGCTGGAGCTCAATTTACAGAAAGTCACTTTATACTATAAATTTGAACTAAAACACCACAACAGATTGAAGTTCTACAACTGTTTATTAACCCTTTGTGACATTTTAAGAGTTAGCATTGGGTCCCTTCTTCTTGCCAAAAGTAGGAACAACATTGACAAAGCGCCTGTTATACTGCATGCGCCTCTTTGCCCGGCCAGTCTTCTTTTTCTTCTTCTCTTGCTTGGCCACCTGCAATCAAACACAGTAAGATTTTTTTAGGGAAATGAGGAAAAACTGTAAGATTAATAGCAATGCAAAAAAATAAGTGAGAGTAGTTTATCGGTTATACATTTAGAATGGGGAATATTCTCTGGGTTCATTGGGTACAAACAATCTATAGGGATTATTGTTTAATCTGGGGTGCTCGGCCATAACAGATGCTTCTTCAGTCAAGAAAATAAAATGACTTACTTTTGGAGTCTGGCCTCGTACTTTTCCGGCACGAGCTAGAGAACCATGGACTTTACCTGTTGAATGAAAGCATTTTACACATTAGTCGCTACAATTATAGAAGATTTAAAAAAAAACACCCATCTAATATCTCAGGGACCCTGTGGTAGGATAGTCTCACTAGAATGCCAGTCATTTCCACCCAACTGACAATATAAAAGCAAAAATGGAGTCACTCTTCTGGATAATCCAAGGAAAGAAAATCTGATTTTTGAGTCTTCAGTTGCCACCATCATTAAAGAGACCCTGACACCAACTCAAACAAGTGGAAATCACGGAAAATAAAGTATTTAAATGCTTACTTACAGCATTTTTCCCCTAAACAATTTTATTCACTTGCAATGTGCCTTCGAACTTGCTAGACAATTTGACTTCAGAAAGTCAATTCCCTAGCACCTTGCATATTCTAGCTCTCTCATCTTGGAATGTAATAATCCTCTGCTCTGGGTTAGCTCCCCTGTCCATACCTTCATAACCTTTTATTTAGCTGCCAGGGAAGGCGCAAAGGGGAATACTACAGTGTGTCACTTAAGTGACAGCTCTGAGTCTGCTGATATCACATATAAGATAGAGGCACCCAGTAGCAGTCTCAGGCCTTTTGGAGATTTACACAAGGGTGGCACTCACAGGTAAATAACATACATACGGTAACACAAGTTGAATACACATATAAGGCTATGGGAAGATTTGAGTAAAAATGGTTTAGGAACAGGGTCTTATATAGAATGATATACAAGCAACTCAAATTGACCAACAACTCAAATAAAAAGCTTGTCCATGACCCTGATGAGATATTTATGGAGTAGACAAAACACTATTTTATACAGTTATTACAAATTTTTTAAAACAATGTATCAATGTAAAGCTGTGCACCACAGTAAACAGCATGTGTTATGGTGCCCTACAGTGTCCGTAATAGTAGCAAGCTGGGGTGCCATTCAATATACTTGAAGTCACTGAAGAAACTGATCAGCATGACAGCCAGATTAAAAAGGCACCTTCATATATTCATAGATAAATCAATTATGGCCAACTCAATTGTGAATTTATGACATCACATATTTAGTTTGAGTATCTTGCTTTGAAAAAGTGGAAGCATATTTCGGGTCCACATTTGGATTTATTCTAAGCAGGTTTTAATAAGAGCCCTTTAACACAGACATTCAAATCCAGTCCACCCATCAGTGTTTCAGGCGGATTTGACCTGAAGCCATGTTTGTGTGTCCATTTACACACGACTCCCCACAGACTGAACATGGGTCCGGTAAGTTCAGTCTTTTGCATGATTGCATGGAGAGAAAAAACTAAATGGATCCAGATGTAACAATGATGACCTCCGTTCCGAACGGCACGGATCCCCTGCTGATCGGAACGGAAGGCGCCTGTATGTTCCACACGTGTGGAACATATTGTGATCTTGAAAGGATTTTGTCTGCTATTCTGATTAGTATGGTTAGTGGTTCACAGTAGGAAAATGACTCCAATAAAATAAAAACATACATTCTATCTTAACCAAACAGATGTTTGACTGGACTCAAGGAAATGCATCATTAGGTAATACTCAAAATCCAGAGGTTCCACTTTGCACCCTGAAATACTGACCTCCCAACAGACGAGCAACAACATCCAAGGTGCTGAGATCACACACTCCACTCTGGATGAGGGTGTCTTCATCAGACAAGGGGGTACCAGCAAGGAGAAGAACTTGGTCTTCGCAGGCAATTGCCTCTAGGGAGGAGATGTGGACCTGAAAGAGGAGATCAAACACTATGTTACAGATGCAAAGCACAGCCAGCCAAAATCATGCATCTTTACATGTCAGATTTACAAAGATTTAAAAACAGGATATTCCCCAAACCTGGTTATTTTAAAACTTCTCAGAATTTAGTGTAAAACAAATAGTTGAACCCACAGACCTAAAACTAGGATTTAGTTTAGGAAGGAGTTGCAAACATAATTAAAGTGAAATAAAACAACTGCCAATTATATCTGTACAATGGCTACATCCAATCAGATTGTTCAGGTATTTTTTAAAATACCTTTACTTCTGCTTTAAATTGCATAAAATAGATAGAGCAACACCTTGTGACACTCCTTAGTGGCTGTAGGGGTAGACTACTCCAAAAGAAGGTGACAGGATCTGTGCCAGGCTGGCCATTATTCAACAATCACACCTGACAAAACCAGCACCTCTCTCAAGTACTCTGCCTGTTCTTGCTTACATGGAAAAACTGAGCTTACTGAACCCCACGTTAGGACTGGGGAGAGTTTGACTTGTGTCCATTTACATCAGATTACCCCCAACCTGTCTCAACGGAACTCTGTCCTGTTTGGTTTTTTGGATAGGACCCATGTCTATTCAGAAAGGCCAACATTGGGCTTCCGATCAGAACCACCTGAAAAACTGATAGTTGGACCTGACCGGAATGCGCGTGTGAAAAGGGCCTTACAGAAAGGCAGCATAAGGGGTGCTTACTGTAGCCCAGAATGTTTAAGTACAGTAATCCTTTAAACCCGTTTCATGGAATGCACTTACCTTGATCTGGGACACAGTCTCCTGTCCAGACACCTCAAGGGTGTGTAGATTCTGAGCTCTGACAAAAAGCTGCATGGCTGCTGCAAAAACACAAAACACCTTCATTACAATACAGTTCAAGTTTGTCAACCCTAAAAATGTACTTTTCTCATCTGCTGCCTTTTGGTCTGTTTATTATACCAATGAAAGCATTCTGGGTGACAAGTGCAAAACAACCTGTTGATCAGAAAATAAGAGATCCCTCCTTCATCCTAGACTACAGAATGATTAGCCTTCATGTTGTAGAGATCTGAGAGTAGTTAAGTAATTTAGCAAAATACGGTAGGCAGGGCTGACACTACTGGGTCCACAAAAAAATCTGCGCTGTCAGGGCTGAGGATTTGAGTGCATTTTAGGCCAGCATGACAAAAACAGTCCACAAAAAGCTTTGTTTATTGAACTGAAATACAGAGTCTTTCTTCCTCCTCCAATAATATCAGTCATTCAAAGGCCTTCGTGGAACGTCAAGATGCTGACAAAATCCCATCGAGCACTTGCTGAAAGCAGATCTCAACTCAAAAAAAAAATGTCATCTCATTGACATTTTAATAAAAGCAAAAAAAGAAAAGCCTTGCAACAATGCCACACCCACCAGCAGCACACAAGGGACACTAGACCGCACACCTGTAGCATTGTGTTAAATGCATACCATACGTTTAGCGCAAAACACATCTAGCGTGCAGTACTGTGCACCAGGGGTGTTGCAATTCCTCTGAATGGCACCCCAACGCACCTCCCGCCAGCGATGTGTTGTGGTGAAAACAGTGCATGCAATATAACTGACCACAACGCAAGCTATTGCTGTGCTGCAATGCACGGCCGCTAAGAGATGCACTGGCTGCCATTCAAATAAATCACAAAGTACGGCATGCCAAGTGACTGTAATAGCACACAATAAACATACACAACCATACATTTAAAGCAATGCTATGGTGGAAATGGGCCCAAAAGCTGAATGTTTAAGGTGTGGCTAGTGTAAGTGGGCCTGAAATTTGACCCCTTTCCCTTCCTTCATTGACCTAAGAGCTTGCAAACTAGTATACGACATTGTTTTCGGGCCGAGATATTCTTTTGATACAGCTGACCATCCTCAAAAAAAACTCCTTGCTTGGCCTCCGGGACTCTGGTCTCTCATGATTCTCTGGCTTGTTTAGTGTCACCTATTCGTTCTGTAGGGGTCCCCCAAGGGTCTGTCCTAACCGTCCTCTCCTCCAAAGACCTCCTCTCTAGGTCAACTCTTCCCATACTCGCCTTCAGGACTTCTATAAAGTCTCTCCCATCAACAGGTTCGGGTAGGGAGTTCCCCCCTACCCAAATCTGTCTGCCTTTAGGCGATCCCTAAAGGCTCATCACTTTAGGAAAGCCTATACCGCCTCAACCTAACCACTGAACTATTCATTTCTCAAACAATTCATCCCCACACAGCAAGTCATTGTAGATTGTACGCTCTCAGGGCAGGACCCTCCTAACCATCTTTTGTATTGTAACTGTACTGTCTTCTTTATATTGTAAAGTGCAGCACAAACAGCTGGCGTATAATCCTGTATTATAATAATAAAAAAGCCATCTCAAAACACAACTGAAATATGTGGTGACCTGTGTCATGGGGGGGAACTGCATGTCACTGCAGCACATCGCACCGCTCAGTTCTGGGGGGGGACATGAAGTCTAACTTTACACAGTCAATAGTATGAAAAAAGTAAGCGATGTGATGAGCTGAAACAGTGTGTAGACTGGTCCTGATCCAGAAGTCAGCACCGGTCATCTGAACTGCTGAATGTTACTGGCGGAGGAAGACACCAATAAACCATCTACAATCCAGACACGTGATCAGCATGGGTGATGCCTCCAGGTGTTTAGGAAGCTATGTCCAGGGACATGAGGGATTTCTGCACCCATCTAATCCAACTCAGTACATAAGGGGCCCTAAGTCTGATAGGGCTCCATGTGTCCCTTTACAGTGAGTGGCACTTTTGGTTTCACAAGTGACTGGAAAGGAAAACGAGGGGGCTGCACTACCATCAGTGGAGTCAGGATGAGGCTGGGAGTACTTCTATGACAAAGGCAGCGAGTCCCCCACACACTACGTGATCGTGCGCTCCTCTATCCCACACATGACCCGTTACATGGTACCCCAAAACCGCACTCCCCACCATGACTACACCGCGCAATCGACAAACTTTCATCCAACATCCCCTCACCGGCCACTCCGCGTCTCACAAAATGGAGGAAAGAAAGAGGAGGGACCGGTGAGCGCGCACGTATCTTAAACCAAAACACGGACGCGCACGTTTACATGACGTACAACCACGTTCTTTTCCGCCACATTGCTGCACCCACTTTGAATCCACGTGAGTTGTCTGTCGGTTAAGAAGCGCATGCGCCCAGCGGAGCGGAAGCTTAGGGCTGTCCATGTTGGTACACCTAGTGAAAACGGAAACAGGTTCTATTTGCCAAACCAAGATGGCGGCCTCCTTGTTGAGAAGGACAGCATTAGATGTCCTGAAGTCTGCTGTCAGGATACAGGTGTGTGGCTGTTCATGTTGCTTTGAATCACATACTATTAGTCATACATTTTTAGTTTACAGGCAGTTTTAGCGGGACTAATCTTAAAGTGAACTCTGGAGAATAGAAAGATGGAAACTGCCATAGCGCATCTGTTTTAAATGTAAAGGCTCTGCATAGTCATCGATCTTAAATCCTGGAGTCAGCAAGATATTGGGAAACATGAAAGGTGCATACCTGTTCGTGGACAGCGGCTGACTAGTTAGGAAAGGATGAAGATGACAGCCTCTGAGTTTGTATCTTTTAAAGCGGAGCCCCATGTTGGGAAAACCCCTGACCCCTCAAAATGTTTCAGAATACATGTTTATTAGAGGAATACACCACTTTCTTCAATGTATCTTCCATTCTTTCCAGCGGCCATGCAGTGGGTCAGGATCTGCTGTAATGTCTCAGTACCCGGGAATTATAGAATCACATGACGAGTATTGTTTTGTGGAGCGGCTCATACCACGTCTCCAAGTGCCCGACCCGCCAAAGCACACAGGAGTAACGCCATCCGGGTGGATCCCCCCTAAAGGTACGTCTTAAGGAGGAACTCTCATGTAACCTAGTTTTCAAATAGGTGATTTATAAAGCAAGGACCTGGCCTTACTGCAGCCATAGCGCTGTCAGAACCCCCCAAAAAATGAAAACAAATACCATACATTTATAAAGCAGATTGATGTGCATTATAGACGTGCTCAGTGTTCCACTGACAATTAGACTATTGAAAGGAGGGGGGTAAGGAAGAAAATAGCTGGGATAAGGACCCGGTGATCAACCTTCTCCCTACTGCGTTAAGCTGGGAGCAAATCTGTGAAGTTCCTTCCCCGTCATCTTCACATGGACTTCTTCCAGGTTCAGGATTTTCTGCCATCTTAAATGGCTGTAATGAAGTACCTCCTACACATGCACACAAAAGTTAATGTATTGTGGAACTGAGGTGTGCTGAGAATGTACACTGACCTGCACACGTGTAACTCCATCTACATTCTAAAGAAGAATGCAAACAGCCAGGTAAGTGTTTTATTGCAGAAGAGACATAACATGCTTGCAATAAGGTAAGTTCCACTTCAACTTCCTAGTATAGTATATATCTGTGAGTCTTCACTGTAGGGCTGCAACCAACTAATCGATAATGAGAATAGTTGTCATCTATTCTCATTGTCGATTAGTTGGATGGATCCCCTAGCTCTCTCCTCCAGTCTGCTATTGGCTATTGCACCAGCCCACTACCTGCTGTATTTACTTTCAGCTGCTGTCTGTGGAATCTTGCCACTGGCAGGTGTCATTCCCTGGCTGAGGCTATTCAAGCGCCATGTGCTTACAATACAATAAAAAAATAAAATAAAAAAAGATTATAAAAGTTGGGGGGGAAAAGCCTTTAGGTTTCGACCTGACAAATTTTGCTGCGGGAGGTGCGTTGCAGTGGCATTCATTTAAATGACACCCCAAATGCAGCTCCCACCCACAGTGTGATCGCCCGCACTGGAACGCATGGTACCATGATGCCGTGCGTTCCAGTGCAATTGCAAAAAATTGTTCATGTCGTTTTATTCTGAAGTAAACTATGTTTGTAACACTGCATTTGTGTATTTTATTTCAAATTTAAGGATGGTATTTATTGTTTTATCTGATTAATGGAAATAATAATAGGCCAATGAATCGATTATGAAAATAATCATTAGTTGCAGCCCTACTGGATAGTGTAGATAAAACAGCCTTTAATTGATGACATTAGAAATAAATTGCATTCACAAAGCAGCGACTTGATCACAGTATGTAAGCAGGCAAATCATCTCCCTCCAGATGTGCAGTCACTATACAGATACAACTATCACTTCTGAAAAGCTGGCAAAGGGAGGGATAGCATGCGATGATGGAGCAAACTTATAAATGGCACTGAACACATCAGGGGGTTAAACTGCTAAACCTCATTCAGGGTGGTGAGCACTAGAGGGGACCTAAGGTAGCAGCCTAGGAAAGAGTACCCCCCTTCCACACACACCTTTTTAAGTCTTTTGCTCTGAGTCACCTGTTTTCTCCCTGTATAATTTGAGGACATTCGTGCTGAGATCTCCATGTCTTGGGTCCTGGACCGGTTCTCGCTGAATTGGGAACAGACATCCAATATTTTTTCTCGAAATCCACCCCTTGTTACCAGATTTATGTTTCATGATAAAGTTAATTTTAATTAGACCAGAGTTATCCATTGACAACTTGCATTGATGACTCTTAGTGCCGGTATTACTGCATACTACCAGCACCAAGCCCAGCAACTTGCTACTTCTACAAAGTGCTCTGTGCTCACTGTAAGAGAAGATTGTAGCACAAGATAACATCAAAGTAAAAGTACGGCAAAACCTGTGTTGACATTGGGATTTCTGTTACTAGCAGTTGCCACCTTCTGATCAGGGTAGAGCTAACCTAGCATATTATAGTACCCCATAATTCAGGGTACCCGGAAGCTGAAGACCCCTATAGTAGTGTGCAGACACATCTGGTGCCTGCATTGTAGTGCTACTGCGTGGTCACTACTGTTTATTTACTTGTATATGTAATTGTGTATTGGATGTAGTAGTAGCAGGCATGTCATTGCCATAATTTTGTTACATGAAGAAAAAAAGTTTGCATTTCTGTTTTTAATTTTTAGATACACCTCCCGATCTCCCTTACTTTGTGAGACGCTCTCGAATGCACAACATTCCAGTGTACAAGGATATCACTCATGGTAATCGTCAAATGACAGTTATCCGCAAGATTGAAGGTGACATATGGGTGAGTGTATGACTGTATAACATTCTCAAACTACCTTCCTATGCAACTAGACTAAAGAAAAATCTGTTTTTGTCTCCGCTTTCAATGCACAAAAGCTGAGTCAAAACAGATTTTCTTTAGTCTATACTTGTACTGCGAAATGTATTTAAA